GGCTTCACTTTTGTGCATCAGGAGGAGGCAGAGACATGTCATCCATCTTCATTGGTCCAATATTAGCCTAGTGGTTAGTGGGTGCGCCCCATGTACTGTTCAACTGTTTTTTTTTAATGTGTTCTTATGTGCTGTCCTGTAAATGTTTGTTTATATTGTGTTTTTTATGCTCTCTGTGCAAGGCAAATTCCCCGAGGGGCAATAAAGGTTTCATTCATTCATTCAAAGGCTACAGTCGGATCTGACCTGTGTCTCACATGTCGTTCCCCACTTTCTCTCTCCCCGATTTCTGACTTTATCCTCTGTCCTATCTCTAAAATAAAGGCCCAAAAAGCCCAAAAATAAATAATAATAAAAAAAGATAGGGCAGTGGACTGAGTAGAAAATCTGGAGGGAGAGGGGCACCGCAGGTCGGACTTAAACCATTACATTACATAAACATTTCTTACCACCTCTGTTGCTCGAGCTAACGTTGTGATCATTTCTAAGCGGACCCTCCTAGCCTCTATAATTCAATGAAAATTAGACCAACAGGTGAGTAAATTCATGCCAAGAGTCGAGCTGTGATATACCGTGTTCCTATAAGCCACAATATATTCTCCACTCCATTACCTAACACGTCATGTCTCCGAGCTGCAGCACTTTATTCTGCTGGACAAATTGGTTGAAGTCAGAGCCAAAGACAAATGGCCGATAACAGCATGCAGAACAGTAAACATCCACTCAGTAAACAGCAGCCGTGCCAAGATATAATGGCTGCTAGACACACACACACACACACACACACACACACACACACATACAGTGAGAACTCAGATGATGTTTTTGGCCACACCTGACAGTGTCACTGCTCTTCTCCAATCCCAGAATCCGGTCTCTATTAGTCCAGTTTTTCACAATATCTCATTTTCCCTTTATTGACCTAAAGAGAAAATGTAGCATAAAGGAGCACACACATCTAAAAATAAAACGCTGAATAATAGTGTTAATGAATATGATATCACGCAGTCTTCTGGACTATCTTCAGCTCTTCATAATTATATTTCAATATTTCAATAAAATATCCCCCGCAGAATAATTCAAGGTGAAATGTACACCCTGTATCAGATTGACCCGTTGACGACCTACAACTTTTCTTTTCAGAAGTAAAAATTAGATTCAGCGGAAATTATCATCCGGCGGCTCACGGGATGAAGAAGAAAAAAAAAGAAAGACTGGTACGGAGAGATTAGATCAGGAAGCTGTTATTTGATATGCTAAAACGCAGCAGGAGCAATTTGGCCATGTGTTAATTAGTTCTCAACTCTGATCAGTCTTTAATAACACGAGCGTCCGGACACCAGGAAGGGAAAATGGTCAGAGGAATGTTGGCTGCAGACGTCTGTGTGTGTGTGTGTGTGTGTGTGTGTGTGTGCGTGTGTGTGTGTGTGTGCGTGTGTGTGTGTGTGTGTGTGTGTGTGTGTGTGTACACACAAAAGCTGTTTTGATTCCACAGACTGAAATCATTAAGTTGACTTTTAGTGGGGATGGGTCATGTTTTTCAAATATTCAAATAGTCATCAATTGATAAAAAAAAGAGTTCATGCGACTTTGAATGGTAAATGGACTTGAGCTTGTATATTTTGTTTCAAGTCCTCTGACTACTAAAATTCACACACTGATGGAAGAGGTTGCTATGTAAAGTGACCGTCAGAATAACTAATCCATTCATATGTCGCTGACAAAGAAGCAGTGGGAGCAAGTTGGGGTTAAATGTCTTACCCAAGAACACATCGGACATGTGGCTGCAGGAGCTGGGTATCGAACCCCCGACCTTCCAGTTCAGAGAGCACATATGGAAGTGGTTTTTATTCGAATATACAGCGTAAGTTACAAAACTTACACGTTACTTCTTATTCAAACCAAAACTATGATCTTAAAAAAGTCGAGAAGTGTTGGCGACTACGCCTCGTTTGAAAGTTAAAGCAAGAAGTTGTTTGCCGTATTTTGAAGCTTATAGGACTCGTGACCAAGACTGGATGTGTGTGTGAGCGTATGTGTGCAGGTGTGTGTGTGTGTGTGTGTGTGTGTGTGTGTGTGTGTGTGTGTGTGTGTGTGTGTGTGTGTGTCCTGTTGGATGCCTTGCTGGCAGTAGAAGATAATGGATTTGGACAACTCTCAAATAAGGACATGACTGGCTTTGGCTGTGGAGGAAAAGCTTACTGTTATCCCGTCCTCTCTCTGTTTTATCGTGTTCCTGTCCAGTAACTCACTTCTCCCTTACCTCTGGCTTTTATCTTTTTCTTTCTCTCTCTTTTAGTAGATGAGAAAACCCACCATGGTCAATGAGATAAGACACAAGAGAACTCGCTTTAAACGAAACCTGGACACTGACAGTGTTCAGGATGTGTCTTTGATTGCCCCTCTCTCTCTCAAACTTTGTGATTGACAAGTCTGGCAGATTTGAGTCTCTTTTTTTAAGCTCTTGCCACCTCATCCCTTATTAAGACCTGATCTTATCGGGCATCTTATCACCCCTGGAGAGAAGACTATTTTCACAACTTAATTATCTAATTTCCTAGAGATAACAGTTTTATGTCATTTGTGCACTTTGCGGTCAGAGAAAGGAAAGAAAGGGGGCAAAAAACTGCTCAGTCATCGGCCGACTCCAGAATAATGCCGTGAACAGAAACACTAGGGTTTAAGCAAAACCAGAGTTTCAAAATCAGATATCATGCTAGTAAAAATCAGATGATGTCGATACCTGTTTCCATACCACGGAAACAGAAACAGAAGTCTGAGGCATGAAAATCTGCAGAGATTTGACCTCGTCTGTCCTGTCACAGCTCATCGACCATCTTAACAGTAAAACAGTGAGTAGTGATCAAACATCAGATGGCCTCAGTAGTTCCAAATAAACATCTTCTGACCTGCTCCTTTCTTTAACACATGTCATGTGTTTGTAACTTGTTGCCCTTTCCTTTATTTGCAGAGTTTCATGCACTTGAACTTCATTTGCATGCTGAAGGAATCACAGACAAAATCTCACCCCCTTCGGTTTTATCTCCCTTTTCAAAGGTCTAATAAATCAATTACCCTGATTGCTGGATGGACTATTTTAGCATCTGCAAAACGTTGCTCTCCGACAACCAAATGTAATATTTAGTTCATCAATCGGGTATGTTGTCATCTCTGGTTATCACTTAATATTGAAAACCATAGTGTTAGAAAGAACTTATTATATCTACAGATATGTAACAGTAGGGCGTGTCCACAGAGTCTGCCGATATTCAATGTCATATTTGTACTTTAACCTTCATGTACAAACAGGTAACTGGTTCTGCAGACGGCCTCACATTACAGATAACATACGTTTCATGATGTGCTTTGGACGAGAGAGAGGGGATGGGTAATCAGTTCCATGTTCTCATTGACATAGACTGTGTTAGACAAGTTACTCAGGATGTATAAGAGGAAGATATACATTTTTGGCAGAGCAGCGCTCATTTTCAATACAAAACTACATTCTACCTTCTCCAGACACCCCCAGCTGAAAACAAATCCCTGAAATACAGTTCTATTACAACAAAGCCACCAATGAGCATTTCGGCTCTAGGGGGGGCAATCTTAGGAGAAAGAAGATGCGAGAAAGTCTGATGTGTAAAAGAGAAACGTGTACATCAGCACTTAACGGATTAGAAATGTTTCCCGGCACTCCCAGGATGTAGTGAAGACGAAGTCAGACCCCGTCAGCTCAGCAGGGAACATGCGAGCTGAAGTGTTTTTGATTGAGAGCTTGAAGGACGTTGCATTGCTGAGGCTAACATCTTTTTTTTGCCCGAGTGGCACAATGCTAAACTAGGAGTTTACTTCTTCGTAACAAATGTACAAACTGTTGGCTTTTCTTTGTCACTGCTGATTTCTGATCAGGTTGTTAATTCCACAGCTCACTAAACCTCTACCTCACCTTGAAGACAATGCAGAACTTTGGACCTTGACTCAGACGAAGCGGAGATGCCATGCTGTAAAGAACAATTTAAACTAGGCCGCAACTGGCATCAACCATCTTTCTTCCCATATGACTCATAGCAAAGCCCGAATTCCACCACTGAACCTAAATGAAGCTGTGCCAGCGCCTTCGATTGCACACCAATTGCTCCTCATATCTGCCCAGTCTTAAGGTCCAATTAGCACAAATGTAACAGATGGTTCTGTTTGTTATATGTTATTTGTTATACTCACCATTTGGCATAATGTGTACCTTGAGACTAGCCGTCTCCGGCTAACTGTGTAGGTGTCTAAGTTTAATAAAGCTAAAGCCCTAGCTGGAGAAGTTACCACCAGTGCACCGTTTATTATTTTCTAACAAAATGTATCCAGTTAGGTGAACCCAGAAAGCTCTGTACTCTTACTCTATGCCAATGAAACTCACTCAAAAACACACCCATAAAGTTGTTCTGCTCTGAGCACGTTGCTCTTATCTTGCCTCTTATCTTTGTGCTGAAACTCATACATGGACAAGAAGTTCCGCGTTTTCATCAGTCTTTCCACTGGTGGCATGATATCTCAATATTTGGTGTTTCTTGTGCTTGTTCACTGTAACACCAACGTCTTGGACTGAGGACTGAGAAATTAACAATCATCTACGTTCTCCTGTTTCAGATCTACTGTAGCAATTCTCCTAAGCCTGCTTGGTGTCTTATTGAACACCAATGGAGGACTCACAACCCTCTTGTTTTTGTTAATGTCCCCCCTGGTGTCGTGAGTAAGAAAGACCAATGTTGCAAGTAATTCAAAGTTGTTATCCTCATGCATCGTTCAAGAAGCTATCAAATATTCAGCATCAAAAAATGCCTTAAAACCTGCACTGAAAGCAAACATAGAGCTGTTTCAACTTCATTGGTATAGAAATTGCAGATCGGCACAGTGCAAGAAGAAGTTGCCACTTTTTTGGTTTTCCTTGGACATAGCATCAGTATGGTCTGAGGTGTATTCATGAGAGGATTCAAAGACACACGTACCTCTCTCACAGGTGCGTGACCAGAAGCCAGTGCCGGTGCAGTCACATATGAAACGATTCCATCCTTCTTTGCAGACGCCTCGGTTCTTGCATGGGTAGCTCTCACACTGCTTGCCCGGCTGCTTGTTGCACGAGGGTTTGATGCCAGCGCCGTTTTGCGCCTCGGCGATCTGTCGGATGTCCTTGCTTCGACCGTCGATGAAAAGGTCACGGATACAGCCCACGTAGCCGTAGTTGAGCATGGCGGTCCAGAGCTCTGTGGGCAGGATGAGGTTGGTGCGGTCGGTGGGGAGTCCGCCCAGGTACATGTCACCCTCCAGGTCCAGGATCTCACTCTCACCACTGGCTGTGAACGGGGTCCTTCTGCTGTTGACTGAGATCGTACCTGTGTTTGGGATGGATGGAGTACAGATCAGATACTACACCATCAATGGTACAAGACCTCCATTATCATGAAGAAATCATCCAGTAAACATGATGATGTTGTTGATCTTTCAGCCTCATCAGACCGTAAGAAAGGTTTTGGTATTCTTTCATTTTTAAGTGTGATCCTGAATAGATCACTGAAACCTTACAACCACAAAAATATATTCTGCCATTGCCTACATTGGTACTTTTGATTGTTGTGATGACATTTTTTGCATCATGTCTAAAATTACCTGAACGTCCATCTCTCTGGATGTCCACATGGTACCAGGCTCCATCGTTGACCTTGGTCTGTGTGGCCTTCACCTTGATCGTCCCTGAACCCATGTCCAACAGCAGGTACAAGCTGCCGTCGAGAAGCTCCACTGCAAAGAAATCCACCTGGACAAGGACAAAGAATACATCACCAGGGTTTAACATTTGTTGTAATGCAAGATGTTGCGCTTGGAAGGTTCATCTTCCAATTTTGTTCGCCCATCATAACTGCCACTCCTAACTCAGCAGAGACTGGAGAAAGCAACATTTCCATCTACTCAGACTGGCAGACCAACCACCTGGTCACACCTGTTGATGGATGCCGCTTGGGATTTCTCTTGAAAATCCAACACAACACCTAGTTCTGTCCTTCTAAATAATATTTGAAATACTGCAGACTCAAACATGTAAAGTTTAATAGACCAGGGAGAATCGCTTAAAAGATCCCAAGATTATTCTGAAAGGCTCACTGCTGACTGACAATAATGCATGAAAGAAACAATTTCTGACACACAATTTATTTTTATTTTTTTCTGACTTTAGACTTATTGTAACCCTTAAAATAAAAGACTTAATAAGTACACGTAATTTTAAGAGTAAAAATGATAAAATTTTACATTTTGAGTTATGATTCCCTCTCAAAATTTAAAATTTTATCATTGACTCATAACTCGCAACTCAAAGACAAATGAAACCCTCAACGATCTTGAATAAGTAAATATTCTACACCTGGGACCCAAGCCAAATAGAACTGGACTTCTTCATTCAACATATTCTAAAGGCATTGGTGCCCATTAAGATGAATTCTGAAGGTCATAAAGTGGCATCAGTGGAAATTGTCAGTCTGTTTAATATCCAAATATAAACTCCTTTAAGAAGTTCTAAAGTCATCCACAAGTTTTTGTTGGTCCTTCCAAATGCCAAGTACAGTTGCTATTGACTAAACATATTCTGAAATTTCGGATTCGACTGACCTTGGTGTTCTTCTGGCTGCGGGCGGCGTCTTTGCGCTCTTGAGGTTTTCCATGTGTGAAGAGGATGAGGCCGTTTGGCTCGGTGGTGCGGAAATCGAACGAGATGGATCCCATCCGCTTGGTGTTCCACTTGGGGAGGCTGATGTAGGCCTCGGGCGTCTCGAAGGAGATGGGGTCTAGGGTGGCCACGTTCTCACACTTGTAGGACACCTCGCCCTGGATTTTCATCTTTGGGTCAATGATTCGAGCCAGGCGGGACAACTCCAGACGGATGTCATTGTTCTTATACACCACCTGTGAGAAGACAACGAGAGCAGTAGGATTATTCATCTACTAAAGTATTGTTTAAGAGCTGCTTTATAAACTCGACCCAAACAACTCAATGACACGGTTTGATATAATCCAAGGCAGCCAAAGACCCTCATTTTGGGTTAAATAGGAACTTCTTGTCTTGTGTTTCTATCCATTAATAAGGTCTGAAGCCTGGTGCGAGGGAAGGAGCTGCATTCACAGAAACCCTTTTTACAGAAAATTCTTTAAAACATTTAGCAGCAGCGTGCCCTTTTAAATCGTCCTGAGATGCTATTTTAAACACGTCCTTCACATCTGGAGTATTACCCTGTCAGACGGGAGGGGGTGGAAGGTTTCAGGAGCCAAGACATGACGTGAAGAAGACGCTGTTAGTGTGACGCTGTGATGACAGTTTTTGCTTTATTATCAATGCAATGGGACATAAAGAATAAATGAAAGATGAAAAAATGGCAAGCAGAAAACATAATTGCGCATCATCATCACACACTGGAAGATCGCAGCAGTCACTCAGTGGTCAGAAGATATAAACGTCACTAGCTCCTCCTACTCTCTCGTGGTACATTTCCTGCTTTGTTCACACATCGGCTCAGTCTAACCTCTGGTGGCTTGAAGGAGTTTGCATAAAGTCTGGGACAAAGATTCAAGACTTGGAAATTTCTAACTCTGCACAACACTCCTGAAGATTTCCAAAGGGCTAAGAGAAAGATATGGAGGTCATAGAAGACACACAAAGGAGGGACATTATTGTGAGACAGAAGCTGGAGCTGCAGAATCTCCACCAGCTGTTTCCTCGTCTGTTCTCTCTGCTGCTGTCAGGTGTGACGCTTACCTGTGTGTTACTGAGTTCATCAGCTTACTCTCGCTGAGGTTGGGTTGTAGCTGCTTGATATCGGTGTAATCCTGCACATGCTCTTTTTCCTAAACACATTTTTAATCTTTTAAAAGTCTGATTTAATGTTCTGCTCTTTCTTGACATCAGTATTAGACGGTGCCAGCTGAAGACTCTTTAAATGTGACATTAAGAACTGCGGTACAGTCGGGGGTAAACACAGCTGCAACGGCAGCTACATTTCATTAAAAGATTTTGTGAAAAAAAAAGAGCAGTGAACTGAAAGCGAGTTGATGTTATTTGTGTTAGCAAGAGTCCATGTATAGTAGAGACGTCATGAAAACCAGACAGACGGCTCAACAGGGACCGCCCACTTTTGGGCTCTGGTTCCAGAAGTACATTACCCCATTTCAAATCCTCAATCGACACTTCAGAAAATCCTTCTATCAATCAATATTTTTAATCCTTTAAACAAGCCAACCAGCAACCTGAATCCTCGTGACTATAAATAATTTAATTCAGCTCAAAAAAACGATTGGAAAACGGAGAAAGAGGCAAAAGTTACAAGGACCGTGAACATAATTACGCATCCCAAAATCCATTGCAATTCCAACGAGACCCAACAAATAAAAGTTTAGCGCTCTTCATTTTAAAACCTTGTTTCAACATGTATCTTTATCGTAGTGTTAATATTGTCATAAAGTGAACTTCAGTGGTAGCTGAAGTTAACAGGGAGGGTAAACATTTCCATGGAAGCAGCAGGCTCCACCAATCAGAGTCGTCACTGTGACAATTTAGGATGGGTAGCTGAGTTGCTTTGAAAAAGGAGGTAGTTATACACAAATCAGGTAGGTGCAGGGCAAAATCAGCAGACTGAGGAAGAAAAATACATGGTATATTCACAATTTTGGGGAAATCAACTCCACTAGAGGAATAAGACGATAGTCCTGCACACATGCTCAAATGCCACATCAAACTGTGCAGGACTATCATCTTCCTCTAGCTGAATTGCTTTCGCTAAAATTGTAAATACACCATGTATTTTTCTTTTTCTTCTACAAAGTTAATGTATGAACTTGTGTCTTCTACAGGAGCATACACCGTACCATCGATTCACCCTCAGGTAGCTTGTGATCAGTCAACCTTGAACTGTTATGACATTATAGCTAATAATCAAATCCGCTATGGAGAAAATGAATGGGATTTTTACTTCCTGAACCCCATTGTTGAGCTCTATAACTGTGTGGTTGTAATTTAGTCACAGAGGAGCCATCGTCTACGTGTTACCTGGTTAATGGTAAACTAGGAACGTAAATACGACAGAAATCACAACCAAAATTTAAAAACTGCTCAATTAAAAAGCATACAGTTAGTCCGTCTTTGAGGAAAAAAAGATTAAACCGAGCATGTGGTCTTTTGCATGTGTTTCTGAATTTGCTGCATGGTCTTCTTCCTGTAAATCATTTCAGCAGTTGCAGTTAGTTTGCTCCTTCTCGCTTGCTTGCCAACGTAGTTTCCATCCCTCGCCATAAAGCTGCTTTGTAACGCACACAGCCTCCTGCATGAGCGAGTGTCCTGCCAATGATGGAAAACAAATGAATGAAGAAGACTAAGTGGCCGATCTTTTATCACAGCAGCCCTAAATGCTATCAATAACAGCGGGAGGACGGAGTCACGGAGGGGGATGTGTGTGTAAATTGAAATCTGCTCAAGTGGAAAATTGAAGGCTTTTTTTTCCTCTCCCCCCCTCTAATTCTCCCGGCAGAAAAACAGCCTCTGTCTGGCTATATTTCGGGCACAAACGTACACAAAACAAACACACCCTCTCCTCCATTTCACTCGGTGTTGTATTAATGTCTGCGCTACCCCTCCTCGCCCAGGGGTTCTGTCTGAGAGCGCCGCGATGGCTGAGTGGGTAGATTGAGGGGCCTGGCTGAGATTATCGATAATCCAGCAGCAGATTTGACAGTAAATCAACTCATCCCTTAAGGTGCCCTGGGACTGGATGGAAGATTGTCTTTTCCTCTCCTCTCACTCTCTTTGTTGCCTCTTCATTTTCTTTTTTGTTACATCCATCCTCCTCCTCCTCCTCCTCCTCCTCTTCCTCCTCCTCCTGCTCCCTCCATCCATCTTTCCCCACCTCTCCTCCAGAAGCAGTCTCCTTCCTCCTGCTGTGACTGAGCAGAAATACCACGCGCCTCGTCTGCGACTCTCTCTCACAAGATGTAAGCCTACTGTACTCAAAATGTAAGTATTGTCAGACTTATCCACAGTGGAGTAATGGCAGAAGATTTGAACGTATCACCAGCGGTAAACTGAATTTGTAGCGAGGAAATAATAGATTTTGTATTCAAATTAGTTATGAGCTTCATAAATGCATTTCGCACAAAGGTCTTTGGTCAGTCCCATATACTGTATAAAAAGACAGACGGCATGACAGCTTCCCCAAAGTGAGGCCAAAGCATGTAGAGCTCCCCCTACTGACCAGCTGCAGTAAAGGTCATAAAGCCATGCCTTCTGCATGTTAACAGATAGGACATGGGTCAAACTATGAAATCAAAATCTAGTCAAATACATTATTCTCAAACATGGTCATAGGGGTTCTTATCATGCTAACTTATCCCCGAGGGTTCACTTTTCTGAGAACTTTAGTTTGAATTTGTTATGTGAGGCAATAAAAAGCTGTAAAATGCCATGATTGACAGTTCTGTTGACAAATGAGAGTATAGAGGAGAAACTTTGAGAGGAAATGTAACAAACATTAACATAATTACATCAACAGATCCAGGAGCCTACTCAAACACAAGTTTAACAAGTAAGAGTATATCCAGTCCAACTCTACTTTACTGTCAACGAGAAATGAGAATATGTACACACACACACACACACACACGCACACACGCACACACGCACATGTTTCATTGCTGGCTGATAAAAGAGAGCATAAATCATATAAAATGTGTCTGGAAGAGGAAGACAGGGGTATGGCAGGGAGAGAGGTGGTGGTGGTTGAGGTGGCGTGTGTGTGTGTTGGGGGGGAGAGAGGGGGGGGAGAGGGGGGGAGAGGGGGGGAGAGGGGGTACGATGGCCAGTGTAGCTGACAATTTGACAAGTCACTTTCAGGTCCCTGCCACCTCTGAACAATAATAGCAAAGGAACCTTTCAACATGCAAAGGGAGCTTTATCAGCAGGCTGCAGACGCAGGCTGCAGGTTAACATGAGAATGAAGCATTAGCAGATTGATAACAGGCTGAGGGATGCACACACACACACACACACACACACACACACACACACACACACACACACACACACACACACAAATATATATTTATAGATGTGTGTGTAAGTGTGTAAGTGAGTGAGAGTTTGAGCAACAGAAAGCAATTGAAAATGTTTGACAATGACCAGATGATAGAAATCCATCACTGAATTATCTCCTCAACCAGGCCTCCACGACACACACCATTACACACACACACATCCTCACACACACACACACACACTCTTATCAGTGTGTGAGAATGAGCAATGAAACACAATATGACTCAGCCTTGAAATTACCTTTTAGATTGCCAGCCAATACGGCGAGCAGGTTTTAATGTCCACTCTGAATATCCACAAGAAAGAATCAGACTGATTCAGAGGCTCACAGCGCTGAATCATTCGACAGCAGGAGAGAAATCATTTGTGTTCTCAGAGCCTCACAAAGCAGAAGTTTGTCATGTTAATGGTGATGCAGGGAAGGCCGAGGGACTGTCTGGCTTGAAGCTGATGTTTAAATGTCCTGAGTGTGTTTGAAGAGAGCTCATTAAGAGTCAGTGATGAAGACGGGTCCTCTGAAAACCGACAAATGTTTGTGATATAATAAATCATAATCTGCCCACTTTGGAGATTAATGAAATCTCCAAAGTGGGCAGATTAAGAAGTGAGATGTTTTAAATGGCCCAAAAGGCAACAATTATTTTACAAAGTTGCAATTCATCCATCCATTATCTATATCGCTTTCTCACATTCAAGGTCGCGGGGGGGCTGGAGCTGATCCCAGCTGGCATTAGGCGAGAGGCGGGGTTACACCCTGGACTGTTTACCAGCCAATCACAGGGCTGACATATAAAGACAGACAACCAGTCACACTCACACTCACACAAAC